TAGCAGCACACGTGAAAAAATTCGATATTTTTTCTCGTGATTGATATCGCCAATCAGCTGCTAACACGTCACTTGCCTTTCGCGCCACTCGGTCAGGTTGATAAATGAACTGCAAAGCCTTCAATCTAACATGGTTGTTAGAAATTCGTTTTGCTCAGAGAAAGGGACGTGAAACTTTCCAAGATAAGGAAGAAAACCATAATGCGGAAAGAAAAACCGAAAGTTACGTATTCAGTGGCTTTGATAATGGTATTCCTCGCGGCTGAGAACGAAAATCGACTGCTGGAAGATTTGACACAGGCTGATTTTGTATAATTTTGGTTGTACGTGTACCTGAAAGACTTCTTATATCGGTAAGGATTAAGTCGATAACTGAGAATTTTGTATATCGAAAATTTCACCCATTGTTGTTTTCGCAGTGATTTTTCCGTCTTGAGCTTCAGCACCAACGCACGTTATGATTTTTATTCGGGGATTGTCAACCCTTTTATTTTAATTCATTAATAAAGTCGACTTTTCTTGTTAGTAAAGGGCTATTGTGTTTATATAATAAACAAAGTATTACTGGCTGCTGGTAAATATGGAATTTCTCTTCTCGTGTTCAACTCGACATCTCACTCGTTTGCTGCGCTCACACATCACACATGAGCTATCGAGTTGAACACTCGAAGAGAAATTGTGCATCTACGCGCACCCATGCATTATCATCTATATGTCTGGCTATTTTTGGTGAAGTAGGCACGAATTACACTCAACTCCAAGTCAATCTGATACATACAGAAACTTCATTCTAGTCAAAGTCATAACCCAAGTCATGCACTTGTCAAAGTTTCCAGAACGATCAGCCTTTCAGCGTACATTATTTCCTTTTATTTGTTTACGCCAACTGCTTTCTATAAAAGTAAAAAACATTCTATTCTGTGCTTCTTAGAACTGTGTTTCGTTATCTTCAGTGACTTCATCATCCAGAATACTGTGTCCGCGGTAACGTTTTTTATACATTCCGCTGTATCCGTCTTTTGCAGTTTCTTCCAATGGTCGATCGTCAAACTCACCTATAACGATTTCCTAAAGATTGAAA